ATATATATATATATGTGTGTGTAGTGATACCACAGTTTGGCGCGTCACTTCAGCCCAAGGCGAATGGCAATGGGGTCAAGGATGGAGTTGAGCGTTTGTCGCACTGCATCGACTGTACGGTTTGCATCAACACGATCAAGGATGCCCTTTGCTGCGTAATATTCAATCAGTGGCTCTGTCTCCTTATGGTATGTCCTAAGCCGTTTCTCCACCACTTCCTTGCGGTCGTCGGGGCGCTGCATCAACGGCTCGCCAGTCACATCGTCCTTGCCTTGGACCTTTGGTGGGCGAAAGAGTTCGTGGTATGTACGACCGCTGACGCGATGGATCCAGCGGCCACTGGTGCGCGCGATTATAACGTCGTCAGGGACGTCGAATTGAATAGCTCTATGCGCATGCTCCCCCGCCTCTTCCATCATTTCGGCCTGCCGCAAAGTTCGAGGGTATCCATCAAGAACATAACCGTACCTGCATTCGGGTCTTGTGATGCTTTCCTTCATTATGCCGAAGACAATATCGTCTGACACGAGGCTGCCAGAGTCCATTGCAGCTTTCGCCTTCACTCCATATGCGGTCTTCTTTGCGACGGCGTCGCGCAGCATGTCACCCATTGATAGATGACACACACCGTACCGCTGTTGGAGGTAGGGACTCTGCGTTCCCTTCCCACAACCCGGGGCACCCATCAACAGAATCTTCATGGTATCTGAGTTCTATGCAGGTTTTACGCAACCTTCAGAAATGGGAGCCAATTATATATACATATATCAAGGAAACAAAAATGTGAATAGAGGTTGAAAAACAAATGGAACCAAAGTCAGAGATGAATTCACGGAAGCGTGCTGAGCGAACAACATATGACGCAGTACAACTGCCATACAATGTAAATGTATGAGGGAGCGAATTCACCTGCGTTTCTTCTGCAAAACAATGCAACAAAAAAGGAGTGCCACAGCAGCTACACTGGTACTAGATGTCCAATTGGAAATGTCAAATGACGAAAAGAAAAATTGGTATGGTGCTTCTATTCTTTGAAGTCTGCCAAGTCCTCACATGCGCCAAGAGGAAATAAATTTAACGAAAAATGCAAGTCGAAAAGACTGTCATAAATCACTCTGATATCGTGGCATCGGTTGCTGGTATTTCTCTTCCTCCTATTCTTTCTGTTTCTCATGCACCCCTTCGAGCGATACAGCACCGTAGCGCCTCAGCAATTCCTCCGGTGGAAGTGGCGGGAAGAGCAGTCTCCGAATCATTTCAAGCCGCTCGTACTTCGGGTACCCTAACCCGTCCACAGGCAACAGTACAGCCGCTGGCCCTGCAACCCGTTCGTCATCGCCAGCCGACCATTTCACAGCTAAGCAGCTGCCGCAGCAGTCATTGCTGTAACAACGGATTTTGATCGATCCGTACGTGAGATAGAGCTGTGAGTATGTTCCGCGATGCTCACGATTCAGTCTCAGGCAAAACCTCGACAGTTTCTGTTGTGCGTAGTAGGCGCGAATACCGTCCTGATACTGCACACTGATGCGGTCCCCAATGACAAGTGGTACCACACAGCCGCGGTTATTCCCACCATCAATTCCACCAGTGTCATATTCAATAGAGAGACAGCGAAACACTTCTGCGACCAGGTCCCTCAACTGAGCATCACGCACAGGCATGCGGACCCCATCACGGTGGGGCGGCCTCGGTACTAAAAATGGGTTTTGCAGTGCCGATGGGGCAGTTGTGGGATCCCCTGGATCACCATTGGAGGCATCCATCTTGACAAGACGGAGTTTGACAACTTCCTTTTCCTCATTCAACGACTCAATGCAACTGTCGCGTTGAATTGCAGCGAGATCAAATACCAGAATCGCAAGCTGTTGGCGATACTCCTCTTCAGTCAAGCCATCGTGTGAAGGGTACCGCGAATACGATGACAGAAAGTCCAAAAGTCCCTTGTCCGTTATGGCTGTCACACCAGGAACGACGGGTAAAAGGAATCTGAAAAGAAAGAAAAGTTTTGTAAGCAAGCGGTGCTGCTGCAAACGCTGCTGCGACGACAATGTTTGTAGGGCAGAGAGGTCTATAAGGTGCACCACAGAAGGGGCTACCACGCCCACGCGCAGATCAGGAAAACTAGCTGCATTCACGGTTGATTGTGAGAGTGTTAAAATCATGAGATCCAGCACCGCCGCATCGGCGGGGCAGAAGTTCACCGGCGACGGCACTTTCACATTGTACGGCAACCGAAACGGCCGCCACCGTGTGTAGACACCAAAGTCAATGCAACGACGCAGCATGCGATGAAGGGAAACGGTATCACTATCACTCGGATTCGATATAGACTCATCAAGTTCTTCTCGAATGTGCCACATAAACCGGTGCAACTCCCGCACGTTTGCAAACGCTGTGTTGGTATCAAGTCTAAAGTGAATGTGAAAGCTAAGCTTGCTATCGCACATACTAAGCAAAGGGCAAATCTCACTCTTCTTCCCCTCCTCGTCCGCGTTCTCCTCCTCTCCATCCTCTGCATTTCCTCCTTCCCCGACTCCACTGCTGATATTTCCTTTACCATTCACAAGCACCGAACTTGTCAGCACCACACACTGCTGGAGTCGAGCCCCTGTTGCCGCCTCTACCTTATCGCGCAGAAATAGCAATATTTGCCCCAGCCACTGCTCTACAACAGCCGGCATCATTTGGTCAAAAGACGCTGGAGGTGACGAAAGAGTGGTTTCGCTCTCCCTTTCCGGCTCCAGGCATTTTATCCAATCAAATGGAGGGTGGCAGTCAATGTCAAAAAAAGGATCCACCGCGGCGTTCTCGTCAACAAGAGTATACAGGTTACGGTGATGGCAAAATGGTATTGCCCCAGTGAACGAAGATAACTCATGCCGAGAAAGTTTGTTAAACATTTTTCCGCTGGAACCACTACGTAAATCCGCTCCAATAATAAGAACACCGCGATTAACCTCGTATTGCCGCTGTGATATGGCGTCTACTCTTGTAGCATAGAACGAAGCAGGTATGTCGTTCGGTTCAGGTCGCTTGATCGTCACGGCAGCGGCCAGCGCTGATGCTGCTGGAGGTGTGCGATTATCTCTCGTACTAATGTCAGACATTGTAGTGTGAAGCAGTGCGTGATGACACGATGCGGCGCGCCAGTACTGGTCTGCCGGTACGGCCACTGCATCAAAGCAATCATTAAGGACGAGCATAGTAGCATCGTCTATTGTCTGAGAGTGAGAGGGAGCCCTTGGAGATCGAATCCGAAGAACCCCCGCAGTAGGACCGGTGATAGCAAAAATGGCATTCACTGAAGTTCCTTGCACCTCATGGCGACAAACCTTGGTATGTGGCTCCATCATTCTAGTCTCACTCCAGCAGAGCGAGCGACGGCCTTTCTGTATACAGCCTCCAGAGGCGAAGAAAAACAACACAAAATATGAATTGATGATATCGCAAGACAGCCAAGGCAACAAAGGCCTTACCGAATAGGAAAGAGGAAGAATACCATATCATATATATATATATATATATA